GTTTCAGGACCCCACATTGATATTTTGGGACCCCACTTTGGGTCCTGAACCTAACTTTGGGAAACACTGCTCTAAACATCTTTAAGTCAGTTAACATTTGTGCAGAATAATGAGGTTAAATAAAGAATTCAAGGATTATTATTTTTTCATTCCTACATGAGGAATGAAAGATGGATACTGAGTCAGCAAGACAAAACACGTTTAAATAAATACATAAAATAAGCCATAAAAAGAATAAAAATGTACATAATGTGTCACATGGAGTGTATTGCAACATACAAACCTACATATTCAGCCATAATGGAGTGATTGTTTGGTAAAAAATAAATAAATTAAATATTTGCGATTAATTGCAAAAATAAATGAGATTTATCGCAATTAAAATATTTAATCTATTCCCAGCACTATTAAAACATATTTATTGTAGCTATCATCTGTTTAAATCTTTTTTATATAAAGACTTGTTTTTGTTTTTCTTTATTGAAAAAGGTACGGTCAGACTGGAACAGGAAAAACCTTCACCATGGAGGGTGAGAGGAGTCCAGATGAGCAGTTCACATGGGAGGAGGTGAGTTCAGTCTGTTTATCGCTCCTCATCGTAAAGCAGGCTGTGAAGGTTTTACCTGATGTTTAGCTTGTATGAATGTGTTTCTGTCTGTTGGCAAAATATTTCAGAAACAGTTGGAATTTAATAAAACTCTTAAAGTAAGCTTCAGATGTTTTCTCCAGCTGATTAACTTGGTTTAAAGGGGACCTAATGTGCAAAATTCACTTTTTCAGTTTTTTTTACTTACATTTTCGTCTGTTCTGCTTCTAAAAACAAAAAATGCACCCTGAGGTATTTGTAGTTTAAGTAAATGTATTTTTTTCGTGTCTTAAAATGAACTGTTTTCAAACACCAACAGTTTGACGTCACAAACCCTACACCAACCTGAGCCCAGCCCCTCACCTGGTAACCCAAGGTGGAGCTCCGCCCACTTATCCACGGGATGAAAGTTTGTTCTGCTGTTTTTACAACAGTCATGGGGAYCAGAGAGGCCTGGATWCATTTKGTTTTTATTTTTATGGCAATCTTCTGATGAGCCAAAGAACGTTGTGGTTTGTGAAAATAAGTTCACAATAGAGTCCTTTGGAAAATCATACCAGCAGGATTTACCCAAGGACTTTGAACTGAAAGGAAACTTCTGTCCCTATAAACGCCACGTTGGGAGCGGCGGAGCTAACATTTACCAAAAGGCTGGCAGGGTGTCGCCAACAGCAGCTTCTTTGCATAAACATCTTGTTGTGAAAAGAGCTCAGAACAGGCAGAACTGACCAGGTGAAATC